GGGGCGGGTGGGGGTGGGGGAGAGGGTTAAATCTCTTTTGGAAAATGTATCAAGTTGTAATTAAAACTAAGGACACTGTCTCTTTAAGCCTTAAGGGCACTGACCATAAAAACATGTGTCTATTATTTATATTTTTTAACATACCTGGTTGGAGCCTTATTTTGTACATGGAAACTCTCAAGCAAATGTCTTCATGTAAAAAAGTTTCAGCTTCAAGAAATGATAATCAGGAATTTTTGAAAACTTCAAAGATTCTTGACGGGCTTTGTGAGAAACCAGTGTGCCTGTATCCCCCTCCATGTTGTATTAGTCCCAAATTGCAACAATGACATTTTGAATTCAATCAACCGTCTAAAAAATATTCAGATGATCAGGGGGAAAAAAAGAGATCAATATCTGCCAAGTAAAGAGACTATTTCAGCCTGGGTTATGGCCATGTCAGGAAAGCTAATGGCATCTTAACTTTTAACATAGTTGTCCACTTTAAATGACGTTTGCAGTGGTTTGCGGGAGGTTTTGTTACATGATATTCTATTGTGATGCTCTTATTCCACATATTACTGTATGCTTGGGCTCATGTTCACTGTTCATGTTCAAGGAATTTATTTAGGATGAAGCTGATAGGAGGTAACTGCAACCTAAGAAACAGTGCCTGCTGGCATGTTGCTTTGCTTTGTGGTGATGTTTTGGTAGGGGAAGATTTCTGACCTATTGTGATAGGTCTTCTCGTCTCTAGGGCCTACTCACCAGTATTATTTGTTTTCACGTGGAATCAGGGATAACTGTGAAATGAAATATAGATTTTATTTTTAATGTAAGAGGAATTCTTATTTTTAAATTTTTGCACTTCCTGCTTTGCACTGTCAGGCATGGATGAAATAGCTCTTTTGCTGCCGCTTTTCGTGAGACTGAATTGCTGAAATCCACTGTCAAATCTGATTGCTATCAGTTTCCTTGCCTTCCTCCTCCTCCCCTTCCCCCCCCCCACCTCCACACCTTCTTTAGGTTAGTAATTGCTCTTTGCAATTGTATAAACATGCTTTTTAGAAAAAAAATGAAAATAATGTCTTCTGTTTAATACCTTGGTATGTTTTGTTCTCATTGTTAAAGATATTAAAAACACACCAAATGTCTAAAGGACTGCAATTTTATTCATAAATGTATTGGGGAGCAGTATTATTAGAGCTATGTAACTGCAGAAAAATGTTAACTGTTCATATTATGTGTGGGATTTTGACACTGATACTTTAAAACACGTAATGTGTAATATGCTTACATAATGGAAAATATGCACAGCTAGTTAAAAGATAATGTCATACAATTGTAGGAAATGTTGAAGCCCGTTTATCTTTTGTGTCACATAGAAGATGTGGACATTTAATAAGCTAATATGTGAGTTATGCAGGTGTCTTCAGGAGGTAATAATTTCAAGTGTAAATGTTTGTAGATACTATACTAATCTACATGTCATAAATATTTGTATGGATTTAAAGATTTCTGGTAGTAAGCAATGCCATAAAAGATAGCATAGCAATTTGGGATTTTTCTCAAATATATGTCTTAATGAGCTAATTTATGGGTGGTTCATAATTAATTACTCCCATTATACCAAAGAAAGTATTTTAATATATCCCATTTTGTTTTTTTCTTGGCTTTTAAATTAAATACATGGCTTTTGGTGATATTGGTCTCTTCTTTCTCCCAAAGGTTTACTGTAAGGTGGGGGAGGGAGGAAGAAGGGAAGAAGTGATGCCTAACTCAGGTTGTGTCTGAATTTCATATACTTCATTATTATAGAATACATTGTTCCAGTTGAGTAGCTGATTTGGAAGTGACAGTAGTCACTAGTGGATGGATAGTAGCAATAATCAAAGTCCTTTTAAAATCTGAAATGTTATACAAAGAGATTACATGCTGTTAAAAGAGAGTCTGGAATCTGTATTTTCAGTGGACCCGATCCTCCAAAACTGTACTTATGCAATGAGTTCTTAATCATTCAACTACTGAAGTCAGAAGGATAGCTCATGTGAGAAAGGCTTTGCAGTCATATTATGAATTTATCAGGATAAATTGCTGTATACTATTTTAGAACTAGTGTGTCTTCTACTACAGCACGTATATAGGTACAGGAGCATAGCTTACATACAGCTTTTCCACAGCCTTTTTAGATACTATATCTCTGAGAATCCTACAAATTAAGTATAGGAAAAACCCACTGCATAATTTAGTTGTCTATGCAGAATTGTTCCCTATAAATACACTTCTAGTGTTTTGTGTAGTATAGCTTTAAATATTCCAAATTATGGGATTTTCCATCCCATTCACTTGAGAAATTATTTAAAGCCTAACAGATCTTGCTGTTAGGAAGAATTTCTTTATAGTTAGTTCAAATTCCCTTTAATAATTTCATCCTACTATACCCACTTCTATTTACTTATAGTACTGTAAATAATTTATCTCCCTTGGTGTTTACACTGTCAGTTACATGTGGACTGTAATCATGTTTCCCATTTGTCATTGTTTAACTCAGCTGTGCATATTTAGATCTTTTTAGAGCCTATACTTCTTTAAGTCAGTGAAGGTTCAGTGCATGACACAGTTGCAGTATTGAACTTTATCTCTTCTTTTTAAGTTATTCCCTTCAGCACTCTGATTTTGATTGATCTTCTCTGAACTGTGGTCAGCTTGTCATTATCTTTCTGGTAATGAAGTACTTAGAGCTATACACATTATTTCAGATGGAAACATACCAGAGGTGTCTCTATATTTATATATTATAATTAAAGAAGAGTACATTTGTAAATATTTACACTCAGCTCCTTTTCTGTTTTGGTTTGCACATGCCTTTCTATGTATTCAGCATCTTCATGTCTTTGGTTTGAGCTGTTCATTATTTTCAGAAGGAAGTTATAGGTTAACTAGTTTGTTTGTTTCTGAATCACACCTTACTCAAATTGCATAAATGGGACCATCGTTTATTTATAAGAGTAAATATAAAGGACCATATTCTACATAGTGTAATTCTGTGGACTTCTACGGAATTGTACCATATCAAATTAGTATCACTTTGCACTTTACATTCCACATTAGCTGCATTATAATAGATCCTGTCTTTAGTGTGAGGTGTATGCATTTATCAGAGGGCAGAGTTGGGTATAGTGTGTGTGCAGTGACAGAAACCTCCTGTGATTTTTGTGTACAGCAGTTTAAAACTTCTACTGTTCTGTAATCTAAAAGGAATTATGTATGAGGGTGAAGCCCCAATATTACAGTGAAAGGATTGTTTCCTGAAGTTTGTTTAATGGCAAAGATGTTTATATATATATATATATTTTTAAAACCAGGAGTAGGGTGCGGGGGAGGGGTTGGCAGATGAACTCTGACTTAGGGTCTCTTTCAGCTCCAATTATTCTTTTACCCAGGGATGAAGGTTTAACTTTGAAAGTGCTTAATAAGATTGTTTATATGTTCACACAAAAAAGATCAGTTTTGTTGGTTTAAAATGTGTTACATGCTTTATACATGTTTTTATTACATGTGAGAGCTTCATTAACTTTATGCTCCATTTTTTGAATTTTAAAGTCTTTACCTAGATGGTCTTGTTTAGAACTGCAGCTAGTGGTGGTGTCCTATATGAGAGTCTGGTTCTGCTTTCCAAAATGATTGTATGAATGGGCTTGATTTTTGTGTAAGGATTTAGAAACCTAAAATAGTATAGTGGTAGAAATGTAGCCGTGTTAGTCTGGTGTAGCTGAAACAAAATACAGGTCTGTGTAGCACTTTAAAGACTAACAAGATGGTTTATTAGATGATGAGCTTTCGTGGGCCAGACCCACTTCCTCAGGTCTGGCCCACGAAAGCTCATCATCTAATAAACCATCTTCTTAGTCTTTAAAGTGCTACATAGACCTGTATTTTGTTTCTAAAATAGTATATTTTCTATATCTGTATTTAAAGGTCCAGAATTAGCCAAAACCTCACACTTCTATCTAAAACATTTTTAACTGCTATTGTTACACTTAAGACTACTGCAGCTGGAAGAAATCTGAGGAGTTTTGTTTCCTTTAGTTACTTTGTGCATTTGACCTCACTTTGTATATAGTAAATTGTATTGTTTTCCCTTTTTGTTTCAGTAGATCTTTCACATAACACTGTAAAGTGAGAAAGAAAAAATAATATGTAATTGTAAAAACATATAAATAAAACATATATTGACTGGGGAATTTAGGATCAGCTATGATGCTCGAAATAGAATCTGTTTTCAACATTTCTTTGGGTGCTAGGTTCTAAGATGATTGTCTCTTTAAGATTAAGTATCTGATCATTGTGTTTCTTTTGTATCCAGATCTGC